ACGTGCGATGGATTACGAATAAACCAACGCACATACGAATATTTGTCGCGTACCAATTTTAGTTTTAGGATATGTATTGGTCTCTGAAGGGTGGGAGAAACTTAAAAACGTTCTTATTCCTGGTCTTGATCCATACGCCGTTCGCCCGATCCGTTAGTCGACGAATTACTGTCGCCGTTACGTATTGACATGGTGCGCGATGAGGAGAAACAGAGCTTCATTATGAAGGGAAACTTGGTACCTGCAATAAATTTTTTTTTATGTTTACGTTCTGAGTGCTCTGCAGTTTAGTAGTTAGGGGGAAGTATTAAGCAGGAATATCCGAGCCATGCAGCAATCCCTTAAAAAGTAAGCTAATAAAGTATCGATCATCGACCAAAGAAAGGCATGTACATTACAACAATCGTTTGCGACACCTCTGGTGGTAACACTATCAAGTTACAGCCAATGATGGGAATAATGGTACCCCTTTATCCACCAGCCATAAAATAAAAAGCAATCGACATACTTTGAATACATTTTCTAACTTGAATTTTTAGATTACAAACATGATGCGCTGCACCACTAAACGACCCTGAGATGTGGTCATGATCTCGCACCGTTACCATATTGTTACGTACTGTAATGTGGAGACGGGATCAGTTTACCGGTGAAGTTTAGAGTTCGGAGGAAATCGAAATGACAATTCGTCAAATAATGGGAAATATGTCAGTTAGTGCATGCGAAGACGAAGTTAAATCCATTGCTCCAGAGCCTTCCAGGTCAGGATTGCGCTTAGATACCCCAATTTTTATGGGAGACGTACAAGCAGTTGCAAAAGCAAATAACTGGACGACACGAAAACAGGTTTTGGCGTTAGTGACTTGGGATCTGCACTAAACATGAAAAATGACCAAAAGGAGAATTTTTGTCTGATAACGAAGAAATGGATATTCAGTTTGGGTCGACACATAAAGGGCCATCGGGTATAACTAAAAGCTCGGGTACAAAGATCCAATGGGTCTTTGCAAGATTATGAGGCGAAAGACGAAAGTCCCGATGCATCCCAGAGTGTGCCGGAACAAATTTCCACCAAACAATTCGTTGCTGGAATCCGAAAGGCAGTGAGATGCTCTCCTCCAAAGTCAATGGTGGAAGCTTTGACCGTAACACTAGAAATTGAAGCCACGAAACCATCAATGCACCAATCACACGCCAAAGTCCGGAAGAAATCGATTTCCAGGCCACAATTAAAGAGATTGAAGCAGATAGAAAATCTCGAAAAATGTGAAACAAGCCGCCCTTGACGTTGGGACTGCGAGGGAGTGGAGCACTTGAAGAGTGTATGCAACCTATCCGTCAACCACTTGGAAGATTGCCGTTGACTAAGAGGGAGGAGTCTGAGAAGATTGTCCAAGATATGAAGAAGGAAAATGTGATTGAGGAATCAAATAGTCCTACGCTGAAACTAAACTCCCAATTAAATTTGTCGGTGAAAATGGCAAAAAGACAGCTATCCGTTACCAAAAATTGACGACATATTAGATTCGCATTCGTATCGTATGGGTGGCACTTCCTAGGTACGTTTTCAGATCGCATCAACAGCCGTCTGCGTGAACTAACGACAGTCGTGGTATGACTGCCTAGATCGCCAGCTTTACTCTTACTGGTATTAGCTCCAGAAGATAAGGAAAATACTGCCTTTACCTTTGAATCCACATTATGGTGCATTACCGTAATAGAAGACCCATGGCCACATCCATGATGGCGAATAGAGCGAGAGAAGCAGATAGACAGGCGGTCCAAAATGGCGGATTTAGTAACTAAAAAAATGGCGACCAATTCAAGATGGCACCCAACAAAATGGCTGATGTAGAAACTAATAAAATGGCGACCGATCCAAGATGGTGGATCTAGTGACTAATAAAATGGCGCTCAACAAAATAACGGGATTAGAGACTAATAAAATGGCGCCTAACAAAATGGCAGATTTAATAACTAATAAAATGGCGATCGATTCAAGATGGCTGATTTAGTGACTAATAAAATGGCGACCGATCCAAGATGGCGGAATTAGAAACTAATAAAATGGCGACCAATACAAGGTGGCGGATTTGGTGACTAATAAAATGGCGGATTTGGTGACTAATAAAATGGCGCTCGATCCAAAATGGCGCCCAACAAAATGGCGAACCACATCGCTCATTGGCTGTGACACCACAGGGGGCGGCCTCTAAAGGTCACGCCTACCGTATCCCATTGGCCAAGGGGAGGGGCAGAGGGGGCGTGCTTGTCTCTGATTGGCCGTGACGTCACGAGCTCGTCTCTGATTGGTGTGACGTCACTTCCTGATCCAGAACATACATAGGTCTTCTATTTACCGTCATGCCATTCGGATTGTGAAATGCGCCAGCCACTTTTGAGCGACTAGTGGACTCGGTTCTTCAGCGATTATTCTGAAACACTTGCCTGGCTTACATTAAGAACCTTGAAGATGTATTCCAGCGACTCGGAGAGGCAGAGTCCCAAAAAGTGCAATTTCTCTTGAGTATGCGACTTTTGATCTACTTACCAACGTTATCCCCATGGGAAGCTAGAGATTCGAACTGGGTATTGAAGCATTTTCAATGGCCTCCTCCAGGGGGAATCAGCAACGTTGGATTCGAAATTAACCAGTCTGTCAAGGCTACTACATACACCTTTAACTATCTTCAAAAGTAATGGTCAACAAAAACAAACGAGTTTAGAAACTAATAAAATGGCGACCGATCCAAGATGGTGGATCTAGTGACTAATAAAATGGCGCTCAACAAAATGGCAGATTTAATAACTAATAAAATGGCGACCGATTCAAGATGGCGGACTTAGTGACTAATAAAATTGCGACCGATCCAAGATGGCGACCAATACAAGGTGGCGGATTTGGTGACTAATAAAATGGCGCTCGATCCAAAATGGCGCCCAAAAAAATGGCGAACCACACCGCTCATTGGCTGTGACGCCACAGGGGGCGGCCTCTAAAGGTCACGCCTACCGTATCCCATTGGCCAAGGGGAGGGGCATAGGGGGGCGTGCTTGTCTCTGATTGGTGTGACGTCACTTCCTGATCCAGAACATACATAGGTCTACATTAAGAACCTTGAAGATGTATTCCACCGACTCGGAGAGGCCCAAAGTCCCAAAAAGTGCAATTTCTCTTGAGTATGCGACTTTTGATCTACTTACCAACGTTATCCCTATGGGAAGCTCGAGTTTCGAACTGGGTATTGAAGTATTTTCAATGGCCTCCTCCAGGGGGAATCAGCAACGTCATCCATTCAGGTGAAAGAAACCTGTCAAATGAATCGTTAGGGATTTTCCAAGGTTACCGCCGAGACATCCAGTGACCTTCCAAGACTACAAGGTAACTAACACGGTGTAATCTATCTGGATGTTAAGCGAATTTCGAAAATTACCCCCTGGCCAGCGAGTGAACCTTTTATACCTACCAAGGCTACCACCATGAGAAGCAAGCATCCTATCTACATTACTATCAAGCTACTTTTCAAGGTCACCATCGTTGCTTGCCAGGATGACCATCTGGAAATAAACATACCTAAACCCGCCGACGCAAAACTCTTTTTGTTGACCGAGTCCTTAATTATCGGTCCACTGCGACCGAACGCATAAATGGCAGTACTCGGCACCAATAGGCCACGGAAACTCGGACTGGTATCAAGGGTTTACAGAATCAACTAACAGAATAATAATCTCTTTATTATAATAGGCGTAGTTCAGCCTAGGTCTGCTTCTTACAGTACTAAAATTTAAGGCCTTACCGTCAGCCCCAATAAACATTTTTTTTGACCGCAAAGTTCACACTCATACATGGCACAGGCATAGAAAAAAAGTTTCTTCTCGGAGTTTTAAGGTAGGAGATGATTTGAAGCGGTGGCATGCAGATAAAGAAAGAATTGTACATACCTGGACTGTCAATGGCGGCATGATTGCAAGCCATAACGGCCGCCACCGCCTCGCTGGTGTTATCGAACTCTAATAATCCGGAACTAGAACGCTCGGATTTCATTGGGAATAATTTAACAGCTTTAGGAGGGATCACATCGTAGTCTTTGAACACTTGTATTAATTCGTTTTCCGTCACTTGCGGGGGAGTGTTAAAAAAGTGCAAAATCTGCAAACGGCAAAATGTTTTGAGTTGTCTCCTTTAGGGAGAGGGACTCACCTTGCTCGGCGGCTGGATGCGATTTTTACTCGCCATCGTGGGGTTCATAAACCGGTTGTTTTTGTTGGTTATGTACTCTTTGTAGGAGGGGGATTTGTCGGGTAGGGGGTAAGGGTTGGTGACCTCGCTGAGGAAGGGTTGCTTGCTAAACGCCAATTGGAGTTTGTGCTCTGCGCAGTTGTTGTTTCGGTTCTCCTCCTCCTTTAGAATGGGGGCGGCGCCTGTTAAGCCCACAATGACGTTGTTCAAATTTTGAACGCATCTTTCGACGGCGACACCATCGCCCAGTTGCACCATGGCCGTTCCTTCCTTCGACTTTAGAAACTTTATCTGCAAGACGATTGTTAGTCGAGCGGGGGGCGTCTGGAGGGTCCACTTACCCGTGCTACATTTCCGTAGAGACACATGAGGTTGAAGAGCTTATCGGCGTTTGTACGTAACGGGTCCAACCCGTAAACCATCAACACGGATCCGGGTTGTTGAAAGGTGGTGTTTCGTTGTTCTCGATACTCCGCGATCGGCGGCGGTGCGCCCTTTCTGTAATTATCCGGTCCGAAGGACTCGCCGTAACCTTGCATCTCCTCGTAACGCTGCGGCTCGTGCGAATAAGCATCTGCAACGATTAAATTACATTAACCGGGACCGTGGACAAGTACCAAGAATAACGTGGAAGAAATTTTAATTCTGTACCGCTAGCAAAACCTTCGTCCTCACTTTATATAAATAATTACGAGCTTTGTAGAACGTTCGCAAAAGAGAAAATCCAATTAAGCGCTTCAATTAATGTTTCAAAGTGTAACTATGAACAATTAACGAGTTGTGGAAGTTTTAAATAAACTATACGCTCTAGAGAAATCTATTAAATTATGGTCATTTATCGCAATCGACATAAAAGCGAGACGGTTCGTTAATTAAACTACAAAAATACGATAATTGTGAGGACGTTAATACATTTTCTCGCACCGATTAATTTGGAAATACTCAAAGCAGTTCAAGTCATTTTTTCCCCTTTATCTCAACTGCATAAAACCCTTCTCTATTTTCTTCTCTTCTTCATACATTTTGGTTATTCTCATTATCATGGTCCCTTATCAAAACGGGTCTGGAGAACCACCGAGAGGTCTGAGGGCTTCTCGGTTATGCATTATCCACTGAAAACAAGGACAGTTTTCAGTACTTGTCATCATCATTTTTCATGGAGAACCATAAAAATTTCTTCGACTGGGCACCTCGAGATGTGTATCCCCTTCCGCACATTCACATTCCTCGAGATATGTTATAATTTTTTGAAGGAAAAGGTCTGGGGGGTCTGGAATACTCCCGGGAACAAAAGAAGTTCGATGGCTTCTCGGATATGCATTCTCCCCTCAAAACATTGACAGTCTTCAGTAGTTGCCTTCATCATTTTCCAGGGAGAAACATAAAAACTTGGTTGACTGAGAGGTGTTGACTTTCTTATTTTCATGGGGGTTATTCCATACCCCCCAGAGATGTGTATCCCCTACCACACATTCACATTCTTCGAGATATGTTATAATTTTTTGAAGGAAAAGGTCTGGGGGGTCTACAATACTCCCAGGAATAAAAGAAGTCCGATGGCTTCTCGGATATGCATTCTCCCCTCAAAACATTGACAGTCTTCAGTAGTTGCCTTCATCATTTTCCAGGGAGAAACATAAAAACTTGGTTGACTGAGAGGTATTAACTTTCTTTTTTTCATGGGGGGTATTCCATACCCCCCAGAGATGTGTATTCCCTTCCACACATTCACATTCCTCGAGATATGTTATAATTTTTTGAAGGAAAAGGTCTGGGGGGTCTGGAATACCCCCAGGAATAAAAGAAGTTCGATGGCTTCTCGGATATGCATTCTCCCCTCAAAACATTGACAGTCTTCAGTACTTGCCTTCATCATTTTCCAGGGAGAAACATAAAAACTTGGTTGACTGAGAGGTATTAACTTTCTTTTTTTCATGGGGGGTATTCCATACCCCCCAGAGATGTGTATCCCCTTCCACACATTCACATTCCTCGAGATATGTTATAATTTTTTGAAGGAAAAGGTCTGGGGGTCTGGAATACCCCCAGAAATAAAAGAGAAATTAAAATTATACCCACCTTCTCATTTCATTTGGGCGCAACACGAAAATTAGCTTTCGACTGGCACGTGGGGGTTACATAAAGGAATAACTGAAAAGGTTTTTTGCACAATAGAGGGGCGAGAGTGGATCGCTTTGGCCACCTTTGCGAAATTGGCGAGACGAGTAGGATTTCGTATTCAATTTCCGTGAAGGATTTCGCTCATGGATGTCATCAAAGGGAAGCGATACGATTTATGAGGGATCTCCGCTCGGAAAATCACGTTTCAGTTTCGTCCGAAACTTTTGGGAGAAATTCGGCGCGGCCACTGGAGTGGCATTAAATTGGAACAGGTTTCCTGGAAAAGCTTGCAATCGAAATTGGTTGTTGCAAAAATTCACCCCATTTGCATTAAAAAAAGAAAGTTGCGAGACTTTCATTACAGATGGCGCTATACCGCATAGGATTCTCTGCAAATGCAAAGTCAAAGAGAATTATTAAGCTCGTTTTTTCAATGCGCACAAAGCGATCGCGAAAACTTCAAAGTAGAAACATTTAATATTGAAAAATAAGTTGGACGCGCGCTTAATTTAGAATGCATTAAAGAAGGCCCTCTTTCGAGCGCAAAGTGTATTAAACTGCGGAAATTTTTAGTAGAATTTCTCACATTTCGCATAATTTATGAGGAAACTTATTTCCATTCGTTCTTCTCGTCCAATTACAACGTACCGGAGCACCGTCTAGTTTGTATTGATGAATTCGTAATTAACCGCTCGGTAAATTTTCGTATATGACTGTTACGACCATGTATATCTCTCGTTACGCGTTTAAACATTAATGTTGATATTTAACGTAATGAGTGGAGATTTAATAGAATTACGAGCGAGCGGTGTCTTTAAAAAGATTTACTGCACGAACAAACATGCTTTCGGTGCATTTGCGTTGAACGCTGGCCAATTTTATTCTGCATATACCTCAAGAGAGTATTTTATTGCACTTTAATGGCGGCACATTTAGTATTGGATTATTTATTGCCGTTTGTCCATTCCATGCGAAATGATTACTTGTTCAATATTTACTTTTGCTCCCAATAGCGTCATTTATATCCCTATTATTTGATTATGTGAAGAGACTTTCATGTGTCTCGTAGAATGGCGCGTTTCTCATCCCAAAAGGTATACGGCGCGGTTTGCCTCAAGAGAGGAAGAGTTTCGATGACTTCCCCGGCTATGGAACTTTTTTCGAGGGGGAACCATTTAAGCTTTTTTGACCGGGGGCTATTCATAACCCCCCCTCTCTCCAGACCACTTGTTATACACTTTCACATTCATCGTGCCACCGGGGAGTATGGAATACCCCCCAAGAGAGATAAGAAGAGTTTCGAGGACTTCCCGGCTATGAATCTTTTTCTAGAAGGAACCATCGAAGGTTTTTTTGACCGGGGGCCATTCATAACCCCCACGTCACCCCGGTGATACACTTTCCTTTTGAAATGTTCACATTCATTGTGCCACCGGGGGGTTTGGGGAGTATGGAATACCCCCCAAGAGAGAAAAGAAGAGTTTCGATAACTTCCCGGCTATGAATCTTTTTCTAGAGGGAACCATCGAAGCTTTTTTTGACCGGGGGCCATTCATAACCCCCCGTCACCCCGGTGATACATTTTCCTTTCGAAATGTTCACATTCATCGTGCCACCGGGGGGTTTGGGGGGTATGGAATACCCCCCAAGAGAGAGAAGAAGAGTTTCGATGACTTCCCGGCTATGGATCATTTTCGAGGGAGAACCATCGAAGCTTTTTTTGACCGGGGGCCATTCATAATCCCCCGTCACCCCGGTGATACACTTTTCTTTCCAAATGTTTACATTCATCGTGCCACCGGGGGGTATTCCATACCCCCCAAGAGAGAGAAGAAGAGTTTCGATGACTTCCCGGCTATGAATCTTTTTCTAGAGGGAACCATCGAAGCTTTTTTTGGCCGGGGGCCATTCATAACCCCCCCGTCACCCCGGTGATACACTTTCCTTTTGAAATGTTCACATTCATCGTGCCACCGGGGGGTTTGGGGGGTATGGAATACCTCCCAAGAGAGAGAAGAAGAGTTTCGATGACTTCCCGGCTATGAATCTTTTTCTAGGGGGAACCATCGAAGCTTTTTTTGACCGGGGGCCATTCATAACCCCCCGTGATACACTTTCCTTTCGAAATGTTCACATTCATCGTGCCACCGGGGGGTTTGGGGGGGTATGGAATACCCCCCAAGAGAGAGAAGAAGAGTTTCGATGACTTCCCGGCTATGAATCTTTTTCTAGAGGGAACCATCGAAGCTTTTTTTGACCGGGGGCCATTCATAACCCCCCCGTCACCCCGGTGATACACTTTCATTTTGAAATGTTCACATTCATCGTGCCACCGGGGGGTTTGGGGGGTATGGAATACCCCCCAAGAGAGAGAAGAAGAGTTTCGATAACTTCCCGGCTATGAATCTTTTTCTAGAGGGAACCATCGAAGCTTTTTTTGACCGGGGGCCATTCATAACCCCCCGTCGCCCCGGTGATACACTTTCCTTTCGAAATGTTCACATTCATCGTGCCACCGGGGGGTTTGGGGGGTATGGAATACCCCCTAAGAGAGAGAAGAAGAGTTTTTCGTATGACTTCCCGGCTATGAATCTTTTCTAGAAGGGAACCATCGAAGGTTTTTTTTGACCGGGGGCCATTCAATAACCCCCCGTCACCCGGTGATACACTTCCTTTCGAAATGTTCAGCATTCATCGTGCCCGGGGTTTGGGGGGGGTAAATGAATACCCCAAGAGAGAGAAGAAGAGTTTCGAATGACTTCCGGCTATGAATCCTTTTTCTAGAGGGAACCATCGAAGCTTTTTTTGACCGGGGGCCATTTCATAACCCCCCCCCCCCGTCACCCCGGTGATACGCTTTCCTTTCGAAATGTTCACATTCATCGTGCCACCGGGGGGTTTGGGGGGTATGGAATACCCCCCAAGAGAGAGAAGAGTTTCGATGACGGCTATGGATCATTTTCGAGGGAGAACCATCGAAGCTTTTTTTGACCGGGGGCCATTCATAACCCCCCCGTCACCTCGGTGATACACTTTCATTTTTAAATGTTCACATTCATCGTGCCACTGGGGGGTTTGGGGGGTATGGAATACCCCCCAAGAGAGAGAAGATGAGTTTCGGCGACTTCCCGGCTATGGATCTTTTTCTAGGAGGAACCATCGAAGCTTTTTTTGACTGGGGGCTATTCATAACCCCCCCGTCACCCCGGTGATACGCATTCCTTTCGAAATGTTCACATTCATCGTGCCACCGGGGGGTTTGGGGGGTATCCAAGAGAGAGAAGAGTTTCGATGACTTCCCGGCTATGAATCTGTTTCTAGGGGGAACCATCGTAGGTTTTTTTGACCGGGGGCCATTCATAACCCCCCCGTCGCCCCGGTGATACACTTTCCTTTTGAAATGTTCACATTCATCGTGCCACCGGGGGGTTTGGGGGGTATGGAATACCCCCC